GCCTAGCTTGCCCGAGGTCCTGGGTTCCATCTCCCGTACCTCCATCAAGTAAATAAATAAGAAAATAAACCTTAATTACCTCCCCCCATGAAAAAAATAGAAAAAATTTTAAAAGCTTGCTACTTACTGAAGTCTCATTCTAACTAGTATGAGTGGAATCCCAGTTTTGCTCAGCTATCTGTCTTAAAATTAAAACATAACCATGCATTTTGTAACCACTCCAAGGGCTACCTGAATCATCTCACAGACCTCACGTGCTCCACGGAGGTGCATTTGGAAAATGCTGGACAGATCTTCCCTGTTCACACCCTGCTTTTGTTGAACCCAGACATACAAGCTCATGGAGGCCCCAGGGAACCCCACTTGAGCAAAGGATATGGTCATAAAGCCGGGAAACGCATGCAGTGGTCCTTAGGGTGGTATCCATGCTTGGAGGCCCTGTCTGAAGTCTAGACCAAGGGCGGTAGATCAAGGAATACCCAGCCTCCCTCAGTGTCCACATTAAGGCCCACGCCAGCATCTTCTCAGGAGGGCCAAGGTTGACTGGAGGCTTCCTGGCTTCACTGGCCACCTGGCCATACTCTACAGAAGGTGGCCACCCAAGAAACACTTTAAAAGTCTCCCATTAACCGTGACACAGGAGAGGTCCATAGGGTGGGACGTGAGGTCAAAGTTCACAGCTTTCTCCACCACTGGAGCTCCAGTCTCTCTCGTTTTCTTTGAGGATGAAATGAGTTAATACGTGTAATGGGATTAGAACCCTGACTGGCATGTAGTAAACAATTAACAACCATGGGTCATTATTATGATAAGTCCAACTATGTCCGCCCTCATCAGAGGGTCACATTAAGCAGGCAAACTGGAGGGTGTGGAGAAAAGGGAACCCTTCTGCACTGTTGGTGGGAATGTAACTGGTGCTGCCACTACGGAGAACAGGATGGAGTGTCCTTAAAACACTAAAAGTACACTTACCCTATGATCCAGCAGTCCCACTCCTGGGCATGTATCCAGAGAAAACTCTCATTTGAAAAAATACCTGCACCCCAATGTTCACAGCAGCACTGTTTACAGCAGCCAAGACATGGGAACAACCCAAATGTCCATCTACAGATGACTGGGTAAAGAAGATACACAATGGAATACTACTCAGCCATTAAAAAGAATGAAATAACGCCATTTGCAGCAACATGGATGGACCTGGAGAGGATCATACTAAGTGAAGTAAGTCAGACAGAGAAAGACAAATACCATGTGATACCACTTATGTGTGGAATCAAAAAAAATGACACAAATGAACTTATTTACAAAACAGAGACTCACAGACATAGAAAACAAACTTATGGTTACCAAAGGGAAAAGGCAGGGGAGGGATAAATTAGGAGTTTGGGATCAGCAGATACACACCACTATATTCAAAACAGATAAACCACAAGGTCCTACTGTACAGCACAGGGAACTACATTCAATACCTTGGAATGGCCTGGAATGAAAAAGAGTATGTGTGTGTGTGTATAACTGAGTCACTCTGTCATATACCAGAAACTAACACAACATTGTAAATCAACTATAAAATAAATGAAACTATATTTTTAAAAATGGGCAAGTTGGATAAGACCAAGATCCCAGTGACAGCCACCCACACAGGCAAACATGAACCCTAGGGCCTCTCAAAGCTGGCCCGACCGTGTGCCAGGGGTGTGTGAGCTCTCAGCCTTCCGGACAGCTGCATGAGAAGGTAGTTTGACTGAGGGTTTTACAGATAAGGAACTCGGACTCAGAGGTTAAGTGGCTGCCCAAGGTCTCCGCAGAAAGGATCAGAACTGGGGCTGGAACCCAGGCGGCCTGGCCACGGAGCCCACATTATTACTGTGCTCCGTGTCCACCTGGCCCGATGCCCAAAGGGCCAGGAGCCTGGGATGAACTGGAGGGCGACGTCCAGCACAAAGGGGCTCCCGTGATTCAGTCCCACCCAGTCAGAGTCGAGGTCGGGGGCAGATTTCTTAAGAGAAATTGAAATCTATATTTTCTTGTGACATTTTCCTATGTTTCAATGTTGGCAGCTAATTAAAAAATTTTAACTCCAATTTAAAACCAAATGCAGCCAGAGCCCAGAGTCAGCTCAGAGGCCTCCAGTCTGTGACCTCAGAGTTCAGATAAAACTTCCCAACAGTTCTGATTTCCAACAGCCATGCTTCCCAGGGGTCCCAGCCCAGTCACCCTTCAAGGGCTGGTCGTCTGGGACAGTCCTATCACGGGACCTCCTGGGACCCTCCCATCCCAGGTGAATACACTCCCGTGGGCAGCTGGAGAGAAGCCGGCCCCGCAGACCCGGAGACGGGCCGGGCAGAGTCCGCCGGCCCTCCCGGCCGGGGCG